TCTCAGCACGGAACTACCCTCCCCCACCTCTTTCCCATTATGGTCCATTTTAAGAAAAGTGTAGTCCCTAGGGGGGAGGCGCCTACTACTACTACTACTACTACTACTGCTGCTAGTACTACTACTACTACTACTAGTACTAGGACTATAGTACTAGTACTAGTACTGCTACTACTACTACTACTGCTACTACTACTACTACTCCTACTAGTACTCCTACTAGTACTACTACTACAATTAAATAGTGTGAAGTAAACACGATGTACTTCTTCCTTTGTACATACCTACGCACCTCGAAACCTTCATGAAGCAGAAGAAAGCCACTCCTACCATCGAGATCGTGGACCATGCTGGAGACAGCGTCCGGGGCAGCTGGAAGTGATAGACAGCGCTTGCCAACACTGATGCGCGCGGCTTGAAGCATGGCGTGCAGGTGCCAGTCTGTGGCAACTTTCTGGGGGTCGAACGCGCATGGCAAGCACTTGGATTTCCTGGTCTTTTGCTGCAGCAGGCCGATGATGATCAAGGAGAGATGTGCCGATGGGCGATGCCGGAGATGCAAGTAAGCCATAGACCAGGACTGCAATTTAGAGGGCAAGGTTAAAACTCCAAACTCTGCCGGCAAGGTCAGAACTCCAAACTCTGCCTGCCTATTTTATCCCAAACAAGGATGGAAGCGCAAAAGGCCCTACAAAAACTGGGTTGCTGTTAAGGAAGTCAACTAAGTCACCATCTTGTGGGTAAAAAGTAAATACTGAGATTTCCTTATGACTGTTCTTCGAGACAAGGGGGGGTTGCATGAGATTGCATCTCAGTCCGGGGAGGTTTAGCCCAATAAGTCCATGTAGGTATATGGTATAATATACTTGGGCCTGAAAGCAGGTATATGGGAGCCGCTTTAGGACCCACGTATATACCACATACCTACATAGACGCTTTGGGTAGGGTTTAAGGGCTAGGGTTTAGGGTAAACCCTGAGGACTGCTCGCTGATCTCGAAGACCCGCTGCCTCTGATTGCTTGAGCTGAAGCACGTGCAGCTGTCACGCCTGATGCCCTAAGGCGAGCTGCAGGAGAAAATCTGCGCACTTGAAGGCCCTAAACCCTTAAACCCCTAAAACGCGACTTTGGGATTGGCAGACTTGGCGTATGCTACACTGCTACACACATTATTTATGGGACATCTGCCAAACATTATACTAAGACTAAGCTTCATGCTTTTGATTTAAGCTGTTTCCCTTGGCTAGTTGGTGTGGGGAGTTTGGGGAATTCCTACTGTCGCCTGGCGATTTGAGCCTATAAGCACTCGTGCTGTAAAGGAACTTTGTTAAATCTACGATAGTTGAGAACCACATGCACAACAACATGGACAACTGAAGTTGCATGGGGTGTTAATAATAAGAAAGCCGCATGACTCATGACTTACTATGCATCTATTAGATCCATGATGCCACGATGATGCAACCGAACTCAAGCCTGTCAACAGCAAGGTAGTAAAGGCTAGCTGGGCAAGGGGTGATTGATCTCCGCAGCGTTTGGCTTGCAATGCGCGGATCGCAAGAGCCCAACCGATACAAGGATTCTCCATACTCAAAATTATGGGCTTGTGCCTGAGGTCAATGGTGCCAGGCTTGAATGAATGCAGAGACAGGTTTCGGGTTTAGGGTTTAGGAATCCTCAATAACAGACACCGCTCCTTTTGTAATCCCCATATATCCCCAGGAAGCTTTGGATGCAAATTGAACAAACCAAATAATCCCAGCTTCCAGTTACTTATCCATGTTTCCCAGTGATTCTCTGTTTTGGTTTCCTTTTTTCTGTTCCATTTCGGGTGAAAACCTGTAGATCCCCTTCAAGATACTTCCCCTTCAAAGCCCTGTCCCAGTAAGCCCCCCAACCCACAAACTCATACATCCTGAAACCTGAAACTTTTAGCCCCAAAATCATTAAACTTACACCACTAGCCCTACACCAGTAATCATGAAACTTTAAACCTAGCTCTACACCAGTCAGAACTCCACAACCCTAAGACGGCTATTGTGTTTTCTAGTTCCCACTCCTTTGCCGGTCTTCCCGCGCGTCATGGCGCGCGATGCAGCAAGCTTAGCATTTTACCGGGTCGTTGAGCATCTGGGATTCCTTGGTTTGGGGTTAAGAGTTTAAGGTTTAGGCTTCAGAGTTTAGGGTCTAGAGTTCAGGGTTGGGGTTGGTCAAGTCCCGAATGGAAGTCAAATTCTGCTTCTTCAGTTGCTGTATACTCAGCATGCATGGCTCCGGCCAAGAGCTCAATTTCATCCAATTTGCATGGAAACCTTGAGGTTCCAATGTAAAGTCCCCCTTAAGTAGATAGAGTATGGCTTTGGGTATATTAGAATAAGATCCCCATATACCCCATATTCTATCTACTTAAGCGGGACTATAGTTA